TGAGGAGTACAGGTGTGGGTTCTACTGTTCCACCCTGGTAACTGTGTCTACCGCTGAGAATGCGATTAGCTAAGGAGTAGCAATGGTGGTGGGGTTCCGTTCCACTCGTAGCTGTTTCCACTGGGTCTGAGAATGCATAGTCCTAAGAGAGTACAAGGTGTGTCCCACTGTTCTCTATCCCTGGTGAGCTGTCATCTGGGCTGAGAATGTCATAGGCTAGGAGTAAACATAGGGTGTGGGCCTTCACCTGTTTCACCCCCATGGTACTGTTTCCACTCGGGCTGAGAATGCATTAGGCTGAGGAGTACACAGGTGTGTGGTGCCAACTGTTCTATCGCGCGTAGCTGTTTCCACTGGGGCGAAGAAATGCATTAAGCGTAAAGGGTAGCAAGGTGTGGGTCCCACTGTTCCACCGCCTGGTAATCTGTTTCCACTGGGGCTGGAAGAAATGCATGTAGCTAGGAGTACAAGGGTGTGGGGTCCAATGTTTCTAGTCACTGGGAGCTGTTTCACTCGGGCTGAGGAAGTGCATTGAGCTAGGAGTACAAGGTGTTGGGTCCAGCTGTTCCACCGCGTGTACTGTTTTCCACTGGGGCTGAAGAATCATTAGGCTAGGAGGTACGATAGGTGTGGGTCCACTGGTTCTATCCCGGGGGGGGAGGGGTGCAAATAATGCCCCAGCTGTTATTTTGAGTGTTGTAGGGTGGGGGTGGCAAAATAACACCGCACATGGTTTTCCGAGGGTGCGGAGAGGTGGCGGCGGCCAAATGCTACCCCAGCTGTTTTTTTAAAGGGAGATGTGGTATCCAAATGCCACCACAGCTAGGTTTTCGAGGGTCAGTGGAGGCGGTGGCCAAAATACTACCACAGCTGATTTTAAAAGGGTGATATGGTAGCTAAATACCACGCACCACAACTACGTTTTTGAGTGTGAGAGAGGAGGTGATGCCAAACAACACGCCATCTGAGGTATTCTGAGGATCTGAGTGCTGCTAAGTTGTATAAATAGTACACGGGTTTACACTAAAAGGAACAGTACACGGGGTGAGAGGTGGGCGAACTGCAGCGAGTCTAGCTAGGCTGCCAAGTTCAATGACGTCACTGCTATCTTTCGGGCCCGCGACTTCAACCCGAGAAAACTCGACTTCAGATACCCAGGACACACACGTAATTAACGAAGGGCTTTCTTTCTCCTGAACCTCACCATTTTCGCTCCCGAGTTGAAAACAAACAAAGCTATAAGCCCGGCTGTTTCGCAGGTCGTCTGCTAGTTTAATGACCCAGGCGAGTGCACCACAGTGAGCCAGACGCGTACAGTTAGCCAACCACAAACCTTACGTAATGCATTACCGTGAACATGTCATAATATATGCATTCACGGCACCCGTGACTCACAACAACCCGTACTATATACGCTACGCGGGAACAAACTAGGGGGCAGGTTGGCGTGGCGTACTGCTGGGCTGCGCACTCGATCGGTGGCTATGGTGTTTTTGCAGCCGAGCAGTAAGAAATATCCCTGCAGGAGCAGCGGCCCTGGCAGGCTCAATGAAGGCCGCACGCACACACGCGCGCGTGCGCACGGACAGCCCAAGTAAATAGGCGCACCCTTATACACCCACACACGCGCGCACACTCCCACGTACGGCGCGACTATCTGCCCACGCGCATCCCCGTAAACACAGGTAAGCACACACGCATACTACTTACCGTAAAACCTCCAAACACAATGCACAGCACGCATGCCACTGCACGCACGCACGGCATCACGCCAAGCACACAGACACACACACACACAACGCAACGAGGGCACATCATACGACTACATCACCATTACACACACACGCACACCGCGCGCAGCGCACACAACAACGAGGTGCGCGCACACACACACAACACACAGCATCATTACACCGCGCCGCGACGCTGCACGTCATCGCACGCAACGCTAACCGCAGCACACCACTTCACCCACTCGACAGCTCACACTCACACTCACACACATCACACTACACACTCACAATCACCACTCACACACACACACACACACACACACACACACACACACACACACGTACGCACGTACGCATTGCGCAGGCACTGCATAAACACTGCCCGCGGCATCTCGTGCCGCTCCCACACGCTCACGCCGAACCTCACACAGCAGATACGATCATCATCACCATCATCACTGCATACCTTTGACTAGGTCTGTGACGGATCCAGCGCCGCAATACTCCATGACCAACTACAGAAGAGAGAGAGAACGAGAGAAAGCGAGGCGATACATTAGTACAGACATTACAAGCGCGCACGTATACATACATAAGCGAAGGGGCACATGAGAGGTAATTTTCGCTACAGTGCACAGATGCCCCCCCCCCCAGCTGAAGTATTAGCACGGTGCAACCTGTGTTGCCTCGAGGGAGCTGCATTAACAACTACAAGCCAGCGCCATTGCGAGCGAGAATTCGTTATATATATACGCATTGCGCAGACAGACAGACAGTCGGATGACCCTGACACCGGTACATGTTCCTGACAATAGCTGGAATTCCCGTTGGGACCCATCTTTCGCCCCGCGCCTTTCCACGCACGTGCACTTAAATACATGCGTACGTGGTGAAAGGAAACACCAAACGTACATGCTTATCAGTACGTGTCCGACTAACCTACTCATTATTACTCAAACATATATTCTTCATAAATATATTATGCAAGGCTGTGCTGGTAAAAGGAAACACAAAACATATATTTATCAGTACTAAATATCCCCCCTCCCCAAACACACCCATTACCTAAATGCAAATTTCGCACGAATACATTATGCACGTGGATGACACAGAAACACTGATGCTTGCTTACCCACAGTTGGTCATCTTTGCCAGGTGGACCCTTCTTGATGAAAGCACCATAATAAGTGGCTATGTTTCTATGATGTGAAAACTGTGCAGGAAAAAAAAGAGACAGGTTATAATAACAGGTTAATGAATATTCTAACTATGTGGACTCAGCAAAAGCTGCAACGTGCCACTGACTGTGCGAATCTACTTATAGCGAATACCCTTCCTGCTAAAACGATCGCAAATACATTTCAATCTATTTCATGTTAAAATGACTGTAATGTGTATTACTCCAATCCCATATCCAAACACTCCCATAAAGAATTATTACATAATGAATGAAATCATGATACCTAAATATGGGCGTGGCACGCCTAAACTCGTCTCTTCAACAACAATAACGGTGCAAACGCGCGAACGATAACAATACCTTTTTGAGCACATTGATTTCTAATTTAATTTCCTCCTCTTCATCCTAAAACAAGAAAAACGAGCACAAAATGACTTACGCGCCCACAAGTTCTACATTGTGACGTACACACCAGCCACACACGTCACCGCAGATTAATCCCACCTATGGCGTAAATCTCTGGGAATTAAAATTTTGCAATCGAAAACGCACGCGCGGTAGTCGTACCCAGCCCCGCTCTCTCGGATGTTTGGTCCTTCCGTCAATCCCACACTCACACCCCCGGCCTCCCCCTCCCCCGCAGAACAACGAAACGATATTTCCGGAAGCAGCTTGTTCAGTGCGCCAATCACGCCAGGTGCTAACCGTAATCACTTGCACAGACACTTGTAGACAGATTGTACACGCACGCTGTACAATCCGTCCCGCTATTTGTTCACGGGGAAAAAATTTCAACACTCTCTCGAGTTTGCCAGCCGAGCGTGGCCATTAAATGCTTTCTTACAGTGACTGATAAGAGACACATGCATCTAGTGTTCGTCTGAGATATCACTGAACAGGTCAAGGAGGACTACACCTGTCATAATTGCGTAATTAATTAATACAGCGCGGGCAATTTGTCTCGTGTATTGGTGCGGTCCTTCCAACCGTTCTAAGTGTGCTGTTATGCACTCCAATATTATAGACCTCCAGCATACACACCCACTGACACCATACATCATTACTTACGTGCACACAAGGGCACCTACAATGACATATATACGTGCCGATGCAGAAGTGAACGGGAGCGGTATAAGAACAGATAACTTTACAACTAGGGCTATAGTTCTAGAGCTAAAGAACAGATATCTACGTTCTCTTTCAATCGCGTTTCATCGGGGGCAAAAAGGCCCGTTCACACCCATAGGGAGCGGCACGTGCAAAACTGCAACGTTTGCAATGCGGGAGCAAACTATGGTCGGTAAAAAAAAGGTAACTTCTGACACCCTAATCCGTTTTTCAATGGCTGAATTTGATGCTACTAGGGTCACGCGCGTCAATATTTGCAAATACGATGCGGCTGCCACGCATCCCATCAAGAGCAGATAAAGAAGGAGAGCGTACAACGGTAAAATGCTGAAACCATGCTGCAGTATTAGTCGAATTAATAAACTTTTCCCGTTTTATTTTGACGATCCTTTGCAGTATCATTGATTAGCTGTCTTACCTTGTTCATATAAAA